CCGTGGGGTCTGGAAAGTTGGGACGTGGGACCCCCTTCCCGGCCCCTCGCCCTTCAGGCCCCAGCTCAGGCTCACGGGAAACAAGTTTGGAGACACTCTTGTTGGCCCCCTTCCAACCATGGCTCGGGATCTGGGACCCGCAGGGTTTGGCCACTGTCGGGGAGCGGGCCGGGGGCTTCTCCCCAAGCAGGGAGGGGGCTGCCACTGGGCCTGGAGGGCGGGGAAGGCCCTGTGTGCCTTTACCTGGGTCCCAGGGAGAGTCGGGCCTATCCACTGCCCCTTGCCCCCTGCATCGGGGATCGAGTCCACCAGTGACTGCCACTGGGGCTGCGGGTGGTGCTGTTGGGAGGCTGCCCGGTCACCAGACAGGACAGGACAGGCTGGGCGTCCACCACAAGGTCCTCCCTGGACCGGCCAAAGTCCACGGCCTCTGCAGTCCCCACCCTGGGGCGGGCACCCAGCATGTTGCCGGCGCAGAAGGCACGTGGCCTGACACTCAGCCACTCCCAGCCGTGGTCTGTCCTGTGCTGGGGGCTGTGACCGATGGCCACTGCGGCTCAGCTGGCCCAGGTCTCAGTTTCCCTCAGCCTCCTCCAGGGGATCCAGGCCGTGTGGTTCCTGCCCACTGGCCCAGCTGGTCCTCAGGTCCTGACTTGGTTCTGAACAGATGAGGCAGGTTCCCAGGCCAGAACAGGCTGGCCATTTCATCGGCCAGGAAAACCAGGGCCCGGGCACTTCCCTCAGCCCTGCTGGCCCCCAGGAGTGTGGTCTTTCCTTGTGGTGCAAGATGATTGCTGGGTCTCCATCATCACCTTCCCCGTCCACCGCAGGAGAGCAGAGGTGTTTCCAGGGGCATCCTAATGGCCAGATCATGGCCACGTGCTTGGTCACAGACCTTCCAGCTGCTTCCTCCTGAGGAGTTTGCTGTTCCCTGAGGGAGGGGCCCGTCTGGGTGCCCGCCTGAGCACTGTCCCATGCGCACTTCCTCCCGGCTCTGTGACGAGTCTGTCCCTGTGTAAGCTGGGAGAGGCCCCCTTCCCAGGGGCCGGTGTGCTGGGGAGCAGACCCAGCCTGTGGGGGGCCTGTGTCTCCATGTGCCCCCCGCTGGGCCCCACCCCACTGGAATGCCGTTACCTGTCCCTAGTGTCACCCACTCCTCAGGCGGGGGGGGCGGAGCTGACAAACCCACACTGCCCCGGGTCCAGATCTCTGGACGCTGAGTCATGGACTGAAACTGTGGCCTGGGGTGTGGGCAGCTGCTCGTGGCCGCGGAAGGGGTAGCGCCATCCCACCGTAGGGAGCCGGGGGTGTTGGTCCTGCACCACCCTGCCTGCTCCCCACCCCTCTCTGCCCTCCACGTCCCACCTGCAGCACGTGGACTCCAGGCCAGGGAGGAGGTGACACCGAAGATGGCCAGCTGGACGGCAGTGCAGAGCTCCTGTAGGCCGACCCTTCCCAGTACTGGATCCCAGCCAGGGTCCCCACAGGCGCTCTGCGGCCTGCACCCAGCTCTCTGTAGAGGGGAGACAGGCTGGGGGCTGTTGACAGGCTGGATACCCTAATGGTGCTCTCCTCCCTGCAGGGGTGGGCGTGGGGAGAGACGGGGCTCTGGGCATCAGGGTGGACCCTCCCGGCTTCCCTCTGTGCTTGCAGCTCCGTTCATGGAGTTAGAGACAAAGCATCTGGGTTAGCTTTGGGGTGTGGAGTCCGGAGCCCCAGAGGCCAAGGGCCCATGCAGAGGAGGATGTGCGTGTCCCTCACAGAGTCTCCTGGGACTCTCCGGGACCTCCAGAGTGTGTTCGTGCCCTGAGGTCACTTGCCCTGGCACCAGCCCTCCGATTTTCCCTCTGCCCCTTGACATTTTGTTCTGGGGCTGTGTTCACAAATAAAACAATATTTTTTTGGTTTGGGAATCTTTGTTTTGCATTTGGAGCCACCCCTAGCAGTGCTCAGGGGGCACAGTGCTCAGGAGTCACTCTCCTGGCAGTGCTGGGGAATGCTGAGTGGTCCTGGGGACAGAGCGGGGGTCAGCGTGTGCGTGCCAAGCTCTTTCCCTGCCGCGCTGTCTCTGATCCACAACATTAACTAAAAGGCCGATTCTGACGTGCGCACAGCTTGGGGAGCGCAGGGGGCCTTGGTTTCCGCTTGTGTAGGACCCTGTTCACAGCATCCCTGCCCTGGATACCTGAAGCACTGTCAGAGGAAGGATGGACACAGAGGCCCTCCTGATGGCCTTTGCACTCTAGTCCTGACCTCGGGGCCTTGTTCCAGCAAAGCTCAGCTGTGTGCAGTCTGCCAGAGCATAGGCGTGGGAAAGAAGTCATGTTTGCTCACTTGCGCGCGTAGTGCCAGGAGGGTCCCAGGTCTCCCTGCATGGCCCTCACGGACTCCCCATGCAGCATGGCCACGACCCAGGGTCTCTGGCCTTGTCTCTGCCCTGGGCTGTGGACAGTCTGCTCTGTGGCCACATTGCTGCGGCTTCTGACACCCAGCCACAGCTTGCCACACCAGAGTGCTCACGCCAGTCACTCCATGGGGCAGAGGAGAGGAAACGGGGTTGTGCCCGCGGAGAGGGCTGAGGACCTGGCGCCCCAGAGTGAGTGTTGGTGCCTGTGATTGGCCCTGCACCAAGATAAGACTGACCCGTCACTGAGGGCATGTGAGTGGACACGGTGCAGGCTACGGGTGGGATTCTGGACTCTGGTCAGTGAGAGGCGACGGTGGGCCTGACCTGGCTGTGTGCCAAGCCTGGCCCAGACTGCAAGCCTGAGCTTAGAGCACGGACACTTTCCTCACAGTTTCCTACTGCGTGTGTGTGTGTGTCTGTGTGCATGCATACATGTGTATGTCAGTGGGCATGTATGTGTACATGTGTGTGCCTGTGCGTGTTTCTCCGGCTCCAGGGTCACTCATGCCATCAGCCCTCCGACCCAAAACCAAGCATGTTCCTTGGCCAAGAGGCAGATGCAGAGGCGAGGCGCTCATTTGCATCAGGGTCTGCTTTGGGGCATGCACACAGAAGGTGCCAGAAGCACACGCATTTCGCACACACCTGCCCCCAAAAGAGCTCCCTTTGGCAGCCAAGTGATTGAGCAGCTCCAGGGCCCGTGTGGAGTAGATCGGCAGCAGTGGGGGAGTTGCGGGCACAGAAGGCCTGCGAACAGTGAGGGCCCAGAGCGCGGGCTCATTTGTGTGGGAGCCACCCACCCCTCTGCACTTTCCCGGGTCACTGTGCATGTAGCAAGAGTGGGCAGGGGGGTAGGTATTGGTAGAGGTCAGAGGTGGGGAAAGTGTCCATCAGGGCCAGCGGGGACCAGGCATGGGCGAGGAGACAGAACCCTGGTCTGCACCAATGCGGCTTCACCTACAACTCAACCGTGCCCTGCCCACCGCAGAGACAAGCCCCTTGCCTGTGTGCCTCCCTGTTGGACTCTTGCCTCAACATGGCGGTGCTCAGGACACACCCAGCTCACAGGCTTTGTGGAAGAAACAGTGTTAAAAGAAGCACCTCACCTGACCCACCCTGAGACAGGACCATGAGGGGTCTGTGTGACAGTGCAGCAAGGAAGGTGCTCGCCTTGGTCACAGCCACCAGGGTTCCATCTCTGGCATCCCATATGGTCCCCTAAGCCCCGCTGGGAGTGATGCCCAAGTGCAGAGTAAGCCCTGATGAGCAGAGCCAGGTGTGCCTAAATTCTAAAAAGTAAATTAAAAAAACATGACCCTTTAGAATTTTAAAACCATTATTATCTTCAAAATGTTTCTGATATGTGGAGAAAGGAGAAATGACAAAAGGGACTATGGAAGGTGGATTAGATTTTTTTTTTTTTTTGGTAAGATCGACAGTATGAAAAATTAATTGTGTCTTGGAATAAATCATGATTTTTTTTTAGCACTAAAAAAGTTACATATACAAGTCCCCACCTAAATAACTTTGAAAAGTTTAACAGTGGACATAACTTTCCCAAAACTGGCAGTGATCGCAAATTTTAGAACAGTTTAGGGGGGAAATTGGGGGCTGGAGTGATAGTGCAGATGGTACTCTCTGTCCTGTAGGCGACCTGGTTTGATCCCCAGCGCTGCCAGGAGTGATCCCTGTGAGCCAGGCCCTGAGCATCAGTGTGTGTGGTCTAAAAGCCGGAAAAGGAAGAAAATCAGCAGGTTTCTAACATGTTTGGTCTTTTAACTGTTCTTCAGGTTTGCCTCCTTATTTCTGAATAACTCGTGGTGTTGTTTTTTAATTTATTCTTTTTTCGGGGGGGAGGGGTGTCACACCCGGCAATGCACAGGGGTTACTCCTGGCTCTGTACTCAGGAATTAGTCCTGGTAGTGCTTGGGGGACCATATGGGATGCTGGGGATTGAACCCAGGTCGGCCACTTGCAAGGCAAACGCCCTCCCCGCTGTGCTACCACTCCAGCCCCTCTTGTGATGTTTGGACAACCAGTGTTCACTCCTAAGGTCTTTCTCTTTTGTATAACTTTCAGCTTTTCCTGGACTAGACAAGTACCCTGTCTTTTTCACTTGCTTTGTTTTCTGTTTCCATAAACATCCTTTTTTCCCCCAAGTATCTCCAAAAATCTGTCCTGTCCCCATCGCGCTTTCCACACCAGTAGTCCTGGGTGTCAGTTGCCCTGCCTACCCCTCCCTCTCCCCCCCCCCCCCGCCCCCCCCCCTTCCTGCCGAGTGCCATGCGCAGTTTCCAGGCTTCAGGGATGCAGTGCCACTGGGCTGGTTCCACCCTTCTCAGCCGCCTGGCTGGGGAGGTCCAGTGAATTGTGCACTGTGACCCCGCAGACTCCCCTCTTGGGCTGAGCCTCGAAATACCAGGGTGTCCCCAAAGCCAGTGTTCTGGTGGTCTGTTCTCTGGGTGGGTAAGGGGACCGCCGGGGGATAGCGAGTAGGGGCTCCTTCCTGTGGCTTCTCCCCGACAGGGGCAAGCTGTGGGGCTGGACCTCGGGACCCCGCAGCGCCCTCTTCTGACTGTCGCTGTCTCTGCAGGAAGTTCTACTACATCACCCTGCTGCGGGACCCCGTGTCGCGGTACCTGAGCGAGTGGCGGCACGTGCAGCGGGGCGCCACCTGGAAGACGTCGCTGCACATGTGTGACGGGCGCACGCCCACGCCCGAGGAGCTGCCGCCCTGCTACGAGGGCACAGACTGGTCGGGCTGCACGCTGCAGGAGTTCATGGACTGCCCCTACAACCTGGCCAGCAACCGGCAGGTGCGCATGCTGGCCGACCTCAGCCTGGTGGGCTGCTACAACCTGTCCTTCATCCCCGAGGCGCGGCGGGCGCAGCTGCTGCTGGACAGCGCCAAGAAGAACCTGCGCGGCATGGCCTTCTTCGGGCTCACCGAGTTCCAGCGCAAGACGCAGTACCTGTTCGAGCGGACGTTCAACCTCAAGTTCATCCGGCCCTTCATGCAGTACAACAGCACCCGGGCGGGCGGCGTGGAGGTGGACGAGGCCACCATCCGGCGCATCGAGGAGCTCAACGAGCTGGACATGCAGCTCTACGACTACGCCAAGGACCTCTTCCAGCAGCGCTACCAGTACACGCGGCAGCTGGAGCGCCGGGAGCAACGGCTCAGGAGCCGGGAGGAGCGGCTGCTGCACCGCGCCAAGGAGGCGCTGCCCCGGGACGAGCCCGAGGAGCCGGGCCGCGTGCCCACCGAGGACTACATGAGCCACATCATCGAGAAGTGGTAGAGGCCGCGGCTGCAGACACATGCGGGGAGACGGGGGACAGGATGGACGTGGGCACGCAGATGGGGGGGGTATGCACACTCGCCCGCACACACGGACAGCCACGGACACGCACATGAGGCACATGGCTGCACACACACACACACACACAGACACGGGCACACAGATGTAGGTACATGCATTTACATGCGTGGGCATGCAGACACACACTCAGGCGCACACACACACACACACACGTAGACCTACGCATGTACACGTCCAGGCAGACACACACACACACAAGCACTGGCATCCATGCTCTCAGACATAGACAAGCACATCCAGGGACATGTAGGCACACACAGACACATGGATACGTATGGGCTCCTGCATACACACGTGCGCACACGCAGACACACGAGGGCCCACCCTGAACTCTTGATGAGCGTCCCACATCTCCCCCCCCCCCCCCCCCCGCCAAAACCTCCAGGGCAGGGCCTGAGAACAGGACTCGGGGTGGGGGGCACAGGCTTGGGTCTGTGCCCAGCGGGACAAGCCCTCAGGTGCTCCTCTCCCAGCAGCCCGGGGGTGTCAAGGAGGCAGTCGTGGCGAAAGTGGGGGGGCTCCCATGCCATGCGCCCCTGCCCTCCTCAGCAGCCCGCGGGGTTCTGCAGCGTCGCCTGTACCCTGGGGCCTGAGTCCCAACCAGGAGCCTCGGGACCAGGGTGCCCACCCCTCAGTCTGGAGACCAGAGTGCAGCCTGTGTTTCTAGATGGTGGACCTCCACTTCATGGCACCCCAGGGGTGGGGAGGCTGGCACTGAGGGAGCCTCCTGAGGCTGACGTTTGGGGGTGACCATCTGGCTGAGCCTGCACAGATGCAGGGGTACCCCCAAGCCACTTCCCTGCTGCCTCCTCACCATCTGCCCTCACCCATGGGCATGTCTTCAGGGCTCCCCCCAGCCCCCGCATGGCAGTGCCATCACACTTGGGGGCCGCCACATGGGACAGCACAGCTGCGGCCCCTGAGCCATATGCGGGACCCTCAGAGGCCCAGGAGAGGGGACCACAGCATTCGGGTTCTCCTTCAGGGTAAACGTGGCTCTGGGTGACTCCCTGCTCCCCCCCCCATACACAAACCCCTCCCCCAAGGCCATGTGCCTGGCAGCAAGCAGAGAAGCCATGTCCCTCCTGTGGTCTGGGTCCTGAGGGACTGAAGGGAGCCCTGCAGGGGCTGGGATCCAGGAAGGCCGAGAGATGGGCTACCCAGGATAGTCGCTTCCCTGGCAGTCAGCAGGAGCCCTTTTCCAGCCCCCCGGGCCTGCTGACCTCCAGGGAGAAGCGGGTTTGGGCCAACAGCTGCAGTGGCCAGGATAAGTCAGTGGCTGAGATTCAGTGGCCCTTGTGAAGGAGGGTGAAGCTCGTCCTCAGGACCTGCCCGTGGGCTGTAGGGTACCTGGGAGGAAGGGGCACCACCCTCCGGCTCTGAACTCTCACAAGCATGCCAGGCGCCTCCCAGGAGGAGAATGCAGCCACCCAGCACCCCCACCCCTGACCCCCTCCCCCAGGCGGTCTCCTGTGAAGGGCCTGAGCGCGGATCTGTTTTGTACATATGGGAATGTTTTCACTTCAGACCCAGGGTACCTGTTCACACACGGACGTGGGTCTCCACGTATTGGCTGAACTTGGAAAGGGTTCCCTTCTGCGGGCCTGGGCACCAATGTGACATCTCGGCCTCAGAATATCCTCCCTGCACTGGCCCCTGCGTGGTGGTGCCCATGGCAGGGGCAGCAGCCCTGGGCAGCGGAGGACTCTGAACTTTGGGGGAACTGGAAGTGTTGGAGCCGAACCCAGGAGCATTTAAAGCTTTATTTATTTATAGCTTCTTCTTAAAAAAAAAATTAAAAAAGAAAGAAAAGTGTTGAGAAGAAACCCTTTGGTTATTCGTACAAAAACAAAGAAAAAAAGGATGATGGGAAAGCAAGTCATAATTATCTAATTGTTTCTGTCTAGGTCAGAAATGAATGTTAGCAGATGAAATAAACCCTGAAAAGGAGCCACACGTGTGCTGTAGTCTGTGTCAAGACCAGCCTGCCCGGCGTGGCAGTGCGGGGACCCCTGCCCCCTCCCCCATATGCTCAGAGTGGACTTTGTGTGCATGGGTGCCCACCCAGACAGGGGCTGGAAAGCCAACTCCAACTTTCCCTGAGAAATGTGCGTGTCAGAGCCTGAGAGACAGGACAGTGGGTAGGACACTTGCTTTGCCTGTGATTGAACCCACTTCAATTCCTGGCATCCAATATGGTCTTCCAGGCATGTCAAGAGTGATTCTTGAGTGCTGACCCAGGAGCAAGCCCCTAGCATCATCGCTGGGTGTGGCTATTGTTGCCCTGGGAACAAGCTGCTCCCCCTGAATAGTGCCACAGAAAAAGCAGCACCCAGGGTGAAAGGGAATGCAGATGCCAGGGGGACGGCGGCCAGTGGAGAATGAGCCCCCATAGCTCCCAGCCTGGACTCCCCAGGGCTGACATCTTTGTCACATCGTGTCCAGTTCTCGCACTGGGTCTCCATCTTTGGACACAGCTTGCACACCTGTGGCACACGAGTCTTGGTGAAGCATTGAACGTGAGCGGGAGAGAGGGTGCATGCTGCGCTCACAGCTGAGCCAGCTTCCGTCCCGGCATCCCACACGGTCCCCTAGCACTGCCAGGAGTGATTCCTGTGTGCAGAGCCTGGAATAAGTGCTGGCAGCATCAGATGCGGCTCAAAACCACACCTCAGGGCTGGAGCCATTGCACAGCGGGGAGGGTGTTTGCCTTGTACGCGGCCCACCCAGGTTCGATTCCCAGCATCCCACATGGTCCCCCGAGCGCTGCCAGGAGTAATTAATTCCTGAGTGCATGAGCCAGGAGTAATCCCTGTGCAGTGCCGGGTGTGGCCCAAAAAGAAAAAAAAAACTACACCTCAAAAACAGTAAAAGTGTCAGGCCTCAACACAGTTCTCTGCTGTGAAAGCCCTGTATTGCCCCCCCCATGCTGATTGGTCGTAAGCAGTTGGTCTCCAAGGTCCCCCACTGCTAGATGTGGAGCATGTGCCCTGTATGTCCCTCCGGTTCCCCACCCCTCTGTCCAGCCATCTGTGCACTGACTCTTAAAGGGACCCTGTGTACCTTCCCATTTCCTCACGATAAGACCCAGTGTAGTTTGGGGCACAGACGTCACACAGGGGAGGTGGCAATTCGGTTCTCAGTCCTGGACAAGGCCGCCCCTTGCTGATTTCTGGGACCCATTGCAGTCTTGGTGCTGATCAGACCTCTGGACCCAGGCTCCAAGAGTTGGAGCATATGGGAGGGCTGAATTCAACAACACCCAGCCCCCCGCCCCGGGGACCCCCAGGAATGAGCCCCCGCACTGGCCCCCAGACCAAGCCAATCAGCAGGTCAGTCTGCTGATCACTGATCCACCAAATGGCTCCATTAGGCTCAGCAGAGGGACTGGCCAGTTCCAGGGAGGGACTAGGGGCAGTGACCACCAAGGGCCTGACTCAGGAGGCTGTGTGGGCAGCTGAACCCAGCTGGGGGTCGCTTCCCTCTGCCCTGGCCCCTCCGGCCTGTCTGCTTCTGCCCTCACCAAGGTGGTTCCTGAGGCACCCAGAGAGGCCCCAGTTTACTGCCCTGCCCCTCTGAATGGAGTCTCCTGGCCACCTGGCTCTTCTCTCTGGGTGGAACCAGGTTCCATTGTCCCCAGCCATGAGTGACAGGATGCTCCCTCCTGCTTGATGAGGATCCGGGGACAGCAATGACACAGACATCCCTCCTGGGGCCCGTCCACCCACACTCACCCACGGGCCCCATGCCTCAGCTCTCCTTGCTTCCACTCAGGGTTCTTGCTGGGGGCCCAGGCGTCACTCCCTGGGGTGTGGGGGGAAGCAGGATGGGTAGAACTCGGGGCCTCTGCCCCCTCCACCCCCATTTCAAAGGCCCTTCTGGGCCCAGCCCCTGCCCCCAGCACAGCGGGCCCCGGGTGCCTGCCCACTCCATGCCCCTGGGTGTGGCCAGCCAGCCACAGCTCTCTGCTTCTCTCAGCACCCAGTACCCACCCATTCTCAGGGCACCTTCCCCCACCCCCAGTACCCCGACTGCTTCCTGTCCTCACTGCACACACCCCTCCCCCACCCCGCATCACACGACTCTGTGGTTCCAGGGCACCCTGGGATTGCTGGGGAAGGATTGCTGGGCTTTGCACAAATGCTTTTCTTCCTCCAATGAAAGGCACAGAATTCAAGACAGCATCTCCAAGACTCCAAGACCGGTGGAGCCATGGAGTCGGGCTCAGCGAAGCGGCTTTGTTCTCCCGGGCACCCGTCCCCAGAAGCCACAAAGCCCGTTTCAGACAGGGTGCCCGGACAATCCCGGGAGGCCCCAGACATCCTCTGCTGAACTCTGGCCTGGGCAGCTTACCCCAGGCACAGCCCAGCTCAACCAGTCTCATACCATGGCACTGGTCAGGCCCCAAAGTCCCTGTGCTGACCACTGATGAAATCAGCAGACTTCTGTCCCGTCTCAGCTGGCATGGAAAATGGGGCGCGGGAAAGACCTGTCCCCTTCTAAGGCCCTAAGCTGCTGAACTCAGCAGCTCACAGAGCCAGCTACTCGTGCCTTGATACTGTTCTCTCACTTCTTTGTTGTGGGTTTAGTTGGGAGGAATGGGGAGAGGGTCACATCGACGTTGCTCAGGGCTTACTCCTGGTTCACTCCTGGCAGGACTCAGGAGCATAGGAGAGGCTGGGATTGAACCCGGGTCACATACGTGCAAGACTAGCGCCCTCCCCATGGTGCTCTCCTGCTGCCCCTGTTCTCCCACTTTCCTGGCAATAGATGGTCTGCACATGAGCTAAAGCACCTCCAGTCACGCTGAGGACTCCACAGCCAAGGCCAAGACAAGGCCCACTGCACACAGCAGGAGAAACTTGCAGCTCTGGGACGCAGCCCTGAAGCCACTGCCCCTCCTCCTCCCTCTGCCAGAGGCTGCGTTGGGATGTGGTGGCTGAAAC